GATAATGGTTGTGATGATGATGATGATGATGCTAATAATGATTGGACAATGCGAGCTGTCGGTGCTGGTGCTGATGATGAATTGATGACAATTATGTTGATAATGATATAAATGATGTTGATTTTTATGATGACGATGTTAATGATGATAATGGTGTTGATGACATTGATGATGATGATGATGATGGTATTAATGATGATATTGCTATTGATGATGACGATGCTGATGATGATGTTGATGATGATGTTGACGATGTTGATGATGGTGACGGTGATATTGATCATGAGATTGCTATTGATGATGACGAAAGCTGATGATGATGTTGATGATGATAATGTCTATGTGATGCAGGTGCGGGAGCCATCACAGCAGCAATAGTATTCAGCATCATCATCATCCTCGCAATCATCCTCGCCCTCGTCGTGAAATTCCACAAGTAGGAGCCGCACACACACAGACACACACACACACAGACACACACACAGACACACACACAGACAGACACGCAGACACACACAGACACAGACACACACACAGACACACACACAGACAGACACACAGACACACACACACAGACACACACACAGACAGACACGCAGACACACACACAGACATACACACACGCAGACAGACACACAGAGAGATACGCAGACAGACACAAATAGACACACACAGACAGACACAGACACACACACAGAGACACACACACAGACACACATACAGACACACACACAGACACACACACAGACACACAGATACACACAGATACACACACACACAGACACACGCACACAGACACACACACACAGACACACACACAGACACGCAGACAGACACACACACAGACACGCAGACAGACACACACAGACACACACACAGACACACACAGACACACACAGAGACACACACACACAGACACACACACAGACACACACACAGACACTGACACACACACACGTATAAAAGTCCCCTGTATAGCCTTCAACAGGCTGTTGGGGCAAGTGCAGTTAGCGAGTAGCACCTCTGCAGGCCATAACGGCACACGAGGGGGTGGGTGGCCAACACCACTCTCAGCCGTCTTTGTCTTCCTAGTGAGCATAATACATAGTGTGTATTGTTTCTATATAGTGGGTATTGTTTATGTATAGAGTGGGTATCATTTTAGCAAACACTTGATTGACTTATAGTGACTTATAGTAGTAGGTTTTTACCCTTTCAAATTGTACAAAAACTGACACCTTTATACAAGGCATCATGATTGCAATAACCGCAATACAAGCAGTCAAAATGCAAACAAAAAAGAAAAACTCTGATGATGATAATGATATGCACTGTCCTTGAAGTTGATTGGTCCACACCCGAGACAGCTTTTCTTAGAGCCTAGTCTCCATTGGTGTTGGACCAGATGACGCCAAAATGCGTACAACTCAAAGACAGCGCACTATCAGAGTATTGAGAGCTCGGGGTAAGCATTTACACTATGAGATCTCCTTTACCAGTGGCAAAATATAGTATTAGGTTTTTACCCTTTCAACTGGTACAAACACTTGATTGACTTCCTTGCATCAAACCTCAACAGTCACTCACCGGCACTCCGTCGCCTCCGTATCTCTCTTCTATTGCTACTACCACCGTTACTTTCCCTATGTGTTATTCCACCCACGGATGAACGGCCAAAGAAAAACGGCAACGTTTTAAAAACTTTGTAAATAAAAAAAAACAATAAAAAATAAAAAAAAACATGGGTCAACGGTGAAACGCACCTTGTAGCCCATAATTGTTTTGTATAAAAAATGTTGAATCGTTTATTTGCTAACACGGATAATCAGCAAAGAGAAACTTGTCGCCAATAAAAAATAGTTTTAATAAAAAAAAGTAAATATGAGAAAATATGAATATTTATTTACATATCATGAAATAAAATGAAAACAGATCAACAGCAAAGCGAAACTTGTCGCCTCTAAAAAAAATTTGTTTCTAAATATACAAAATTAAAAGCCACGGGTGAACAGCCGAGCAAAACCTTTTTTTAAAAAAACGACCTGTCGCCCCCACCCCGGCAGGCCGTCGCACGGAGCCCTGATGACGTCGACGAGCCAATCGTCGCGTCACACGCGCAGCACGACCCACGCGCAACACCGCGTCAACGGCGCGGCTGCCACCTCCATCTCAACCGCCGCCGCCGCGTCATCGCGACGTCACAACGGCGCCGCCCCCTCGCGCCACGAGGGCTCCGCGTCTCGCTACATCACCCCCTACGGTGACCCCCACCGCAACGGCTCGCTGGCTCGGCCCGGCGGGAGACTGGACGGGGTCGTGGTGACTCAGCGCACGCAAGCCGGCAACTGGGAGCCCGAGCGTTGGCCCAGGATTTCGTTGGCGGTCCCGGCCGGGGGAGGGGCGGCGGTGGTCAGCATGGACGACCTGCCCACCATCTCGCGCTTCGACGAGCCGGCGACGGGCTTGCTGCGGGCGGGACACGACGGCGCTTCGTGGGAACGCAACGGCTCGTCGGTGTCGACCATCGGCGGGGTGTCGCTCGAGATGTCGACCATCAACAGCATCGAGGACCTCATTCCGCCGGATTACCCCATGGACTGAGTTGGCGGGAGGCACGGGGAGGGAGGGAGGGGAAGGCCGCTGGGAGGATAACGGTGGAGCGGCGGTGGCAGCGGCCGGCCTAGAAGTAGTCGCGGGAGACGCCGAGAGCCGCCGAGCGGAAATTCCACGTGTCTATGACGGGAGGGTGGGGATGGAGGCAGGTGAGCTGTGGACTCGCTGTTGACGTCTCCTGCAAAGTTAGGAACTTTCTTTTGGTTTGTGTCGACCACGAAGAATCCATGATGATGGCGATGACGATGTTCGGCAGTGATTGATGATGATTTGCAGCTTTTGTGAACGTTGTCCTGGCTTGCGACCCCCCCCCCCCCAGACTACACCCCCGGGTCCCCGTGGGCAAGACGTTGAAACCTTCTAAACCCCGCCAGCAAAATTGAAGTCACGACCGCCGGCGGGGGTGGTTCTTTCACGGTGATTTCAGCGAAGGGGTTGACGGGCCGCGTCGAGATCGAGCGCTCGAAAAAACTTCCCGGCGCGTGAGGGCGGCGCCGGTGAGCGGTCCGTGCGACCGGGTTTTTGGGCCCTCCGTGTAAATACTGTGTGCACTGTGTGTCTGTTGAACTTCTTTTGCGCGGCGCGTAGCCAACGGTGCTAATCGGAGGTGCGTTGGCAGAGGATAACAAAGTGAACACAGCGGTTCGAAAGAAATGAGTTTGTCACATCTGGAACGCACTCTGGGTGTTTGGGGCATTCCGCCTCGCCTCCGGCATTGATTGACAACAAATTCTGCGGTTATGGATTTTAAACAGCGAAGGAAAATTACCGTCACCACGACCACTACCGCCACCACCGCCACCGCCGCCACTGCCACCACCGCCACTACCAAGACCACCACCACCGCCAACACCGCCATCACCATCACCAACACCGCCCCCAAAGCCACCACCACCACCGCCACTACCAACACCGCCACCATCGCCACCACCGCCACCGCCAACACCGCCACCATCGCCACCACCACCACCGCCGCCACCAACACCGCCACCAACACCGCCACCACCGCCACCGCCACCAACATCGCCATCGCCACCACCAACACCGCCACCACCACCACCAACGCCATCGCCATTTCATTTTTTTAGGATGCGAAGTGACAGCCTGCCAAGTGCGGAGGTAAAATAATCACCTCCGGGACTCGTCAGCTGACACGCACGCACACACACACACACGTTTACCTGTGTCTCACTTTGGCAAGTTCCTTGTTTGTTAGCCCACCACCGCCACTGCTTCACCTTTCGTCGTATTGAAGCGGCTATTTGCATCTCAGCTGTCATCCAGTTGCCCGCGGTGTTGCCCGCGCATCTCAGCTACCTGGCTGCATTATTTTAAATCTTCATCTTCTTCTTAAACTGGATTCGAAGCTTTCGTGGCTGCACGAATTACTCTTTGGTTCTTTCCGTCAAGTCACGTAGAACGAAATTCAATTAAATAGTAATTTTCGATTTTAAGCTTTCGTGACATGCAGGGATTCATCTTCTTGGTTCTTTCGGTAAAGTCACGTAGAAGGGAAGTAATCAAATAATTAAAATAAAACATAATAGCACAGCCGTCCACAGGTGAAGAACAGGTCTGTCTCCCCGACAGACCTGGTCTTCACCTGAGGACGGCTGCTTGCGTTGTGGCCGAAACGTCGTGAGAATTATTTCATTACGTTTTATTTTTATTATTTTATTACTTCCCTTCTACGTGACTTTACCGAAAGAACCAACAAGATTTCTGCCGGAGTTACCCAGCTGTATTATCGTTATTATTGCTTTAAACTATTTCAATTCAAGAGCGGACTGGCACAGCAACACCAAGGGAACGCATTTTGTTATTTTACATCGGGTTTTCTTTCTGACCTGTTCGGCGCTCTCACTGTCGCCGCGTGAAACATGAAGAATCCTCCCGTCGCAGTTTGTGATCGAGGTCGGTTGACCATCCGCCGGTGCTCGCGATGAACACCGCGGAGAAGAAGAAGTCGGCAGGGCAGCAGAGGGAGTGAGGGCAGCAGAGTGAGGAGGGCAGCAGAGTGAGTGAAGAGGGCAGCAGAGAAAGTGAAGAGGGCAGCAGAGAAAGTGAAGAGGGCAGCAGAGGGAGTGAGGGCAGCAGAGAAAGTGAAGAGGGCAGCAGAGGGAGTGAGGGCAGCAGAGAAAGTGAAGAGGGCAGCAGAGGGAGTGAGCAGGGCAGCAGAGGGAGTGAAGAGGGCAGCAGAGGGAGTGAAGAGGGCAGCAGAGGGAGTGAGCAGGGCAGCAGAGGGAGTGAACAGGGCAGCAGAGGGAGTGAAGAGGGCAGCAGAGGAAGTGAAGAGGGCAGCAGAGGGAGTGAAGAGGGCAGCAGAGGAAGTGATCAGGGCAGCAGAAGGTGACGACTTCATCATCTTCGCGGATACCTATCGGGTTTTTTTCTTTTTTCTTTAAACAAAATAATTTGCGTGTGCACCGCTGCACTTTAAAGTCTGGCATGTAGCTGAGTTGGCGAGTGCCCGATGCGCCGGTTTCGTGAGTTGTTACACGGCGATTGTTGTTGTTGTTGTGGCTGTTGTTGTTGTTGATGGGTTCGTCTGTGAGCGATACGCGATGCCACTTGTTTTGTTTTGTGTTTTTACGAAAATGATTTTTGGTGACTTGAAATTCGGCTTCACGTCCCGCGAGTTGAATTGAGCGGCAGCGCTTGCGAGCGAGCTTGAGATCGTGTCTGTGTTGGTGTGTGTTTGTGTGTGTTTGTGTTGTGTGTGTGTATTTGTGTGTGTTTGTGTATGTTTGTGTGTTTGTGATCGTGTGTGTTTGTTTGTGTGTGTGTGATCGTGTGTGTTTGTTTGTGTGTGTTTGTGTATGTTTGTGTGTGTTTGTGTGTGTGTTTGTGTGTTTGTGTTGTGTGTCTGTGATCGTGTGTGTATGTGTGTGTTTGTTTGTGTGTCTGTTTGTGTGTGATCGTGTGTGTGTGTTTATTTGTGTGTGTGTTTTTGTATTTGTAATTGTGAGTGTGTGTTTTTGTGAGTGTGTGTGTGTTTGTGTGTGTGTTTTTGTGTGTGTAATCGTGTGTGTGTGTTTGTTTGTGTGTGTTTGTGTGTGTTTGTGTGTGATCGTGTGTGTGTGTGTTTGTGTGTGATCGTGTGTGTGTGTTTGTGAGTGTGTTTTTGTGTGTGTAATTGGGAATGTGTTTGTGCGTGTGTGTTTGTGTTTGTAGGTGTCTCCAGCACTTGCCCCATCAGTCTGATTGGCTAGAAGATGAATCTTTGGCTTTGTCAACATGTATCTGAATGTTTCTTCATGTATATTGGGGTGTTTGATTCTGCACGTGTAAGTATGTGCAGATGAACCGTGTATCTATATCGGCGTGTGTACGTATGTGACTGCGACTGTGAGTGTATGTGTCATGCATTGCAAGGCGGAGCGGTGGCGCAGTGATTAGCACACTGCACTACGAATTCGGTTTTCGATCCCCTTATACTGCAAAGCTAACATCATTGGAGAGCGATATTGGAAGTAGTGAACCTCCCCTAGGTTGACTCAGCCCCAAATAAGTCTCCAGGCACACTGGAACTCACTGTAATTGCAGTGTTGTCAGCCTAAATAGGTGCTCGCTAACAACACTTTACCCATGCGGTCTTTAAGGATACGTGGCAATGAGTTGGTTTTTAACGTGTGTTGCTTTTACGTGTTGTGTGTTACATTAACATGACGGAAGGTGACATTTTAAGCATACATATATCGATGAGCCGGGCATAGTTGGGGGTTAATGGATCACTAGGAGAGTCACTGTGAGACTTTTTGGAAAAGTGTCAGTACAGCAAGCAGGTTCAATGACCCATCAGCGTTGACTTTTATCCTCCGCCTTCCATGCATGGGTTTGTTTGTTTTATAAATATAGCAATATCGGTTTTGTCGCACATAGGAAAAATATATATACGTGTTAACTTAAGAAAGAGGAATACATTCTAATTTATTATACTTTGAATATCTGTAGCAATTTAAAGAGACGCTAAAAAATGCACGGTTGATAATCGACAGTTGTGTCTGTCACTTTATGACGATATAAATATGGCTTCAATATTTGATCTCGTAAACAACAATGTGCGTGTGTGTGTGTGGGGCCGAGGTTCGATTCCCGCCCACGGCCACCACCAACATCGGTGACGATGATCCGAACCGGTCCTGGGCCTCCCCTAGGTCGACTCAGCCTAAAATGAGTACCTCGTGCGGTTTGTAAACATCGCCACTGGGGAGACAAAGACGGTCGGGCGTGGTGTTGGCAACCCACGACCTCGTGTGCCGTGCCGGCCACTTCGTGGGTGCTGGCTAACAGCACTTGCCCCGAACCATCTTGTAAGGCTACACGGAGGGGACCTTTGTCTTTGTTTGCCTTAAAACGAAACAACATATTTCGATTTAAAGCTTTCGCGACTGCAGGGATTCATCTTCTTGATTCTTTCGGTAAAGTCACGTAGAAGGGAAATAATAAAATAATAAGAATAAAACATAATAAAATAATTTTATAAATAAAATAATTCTCAATTTATTTTTATTATTTTTTTATTTCCCTTCTACGTGACTTTACCGAAAGAACCAAGAAGATGAAACAACATACGTATGAGACGCAACGTTTCAGGCAACGGCCCTAGTTCGCGGCACAAAATACGGCTCTTGCGCTCGCCTCGGACAGGGTGAGTTCAGAGGACGCGTGCCGAGGATGGGGTGGGGAGGCGAGCGACTGTGAGGGTGGCAATTGAAGAGGCGGCGATGGGTGGGAGAGGTGTGGCAGGGTGGAGCAGGGCACGTGGCAGGGTAGAGCAGGGCACGTGGCAGGGTGGAGAAGGGCACGTGGCAGGGTGGAGAAGGGCACGTGGCAGGGTAGAGCAGGGCACGTGGCAGGGTGGAGCAGGGCACGTGGCAGGGTGGAGCAGGGCACGTGACAGGGTGGAGAAGGGCACGTGGCAGGGTGGAGCAGGGCACGTGGTAGGGTGGAGCAGGGCACGTGGCAGGGTGGAGCAGGGCACGTGGCAGGGTGGAGAAGGGCACGTGGCAGGGTGGAGCAGGGCACGTGACATGGTGGAGAAGGGCACGTGGCAGGGTAGAGCAGGGCACGTGGCAGGGTGGAGCAGGGCACGTGGCAGGGTGGATCAGGGCACGTGGCAGGGTGGAGAAGGGCACGTGGTAGGGTGGAGCAGGGCACGTGGCAGGGTAGAGCAGGGCACGTGGCAGGGTGGAGCAGGGCACGTGGCAGGGTGGAGCAGGGCACGTGGCAGGGTGGAGCAGGGCACGTGGCAGGGTGGAGAAGGGCACGTGGCAGGGTGGAGCAGGGCACGTGGCAGGGTGGAGCAGGGCACG